GAGAGAGAGAGAGAGCGTGCAGAACGTGACATTTTATCGCTCGAATTTTGGTTAAATAACGGCGCGCGAGACGTTTGCGCCTGTACGAGTGCGAACGCGTACGCACGAGCTGTTTGGACGTTTGGGCTAGATCAGCGTTTCTCAAACTGCTGCTACAGAAAATAAGAGAGGAGTGAGAAAGAAAAAAAATTTACAATACATCAATAAAAATTTCTGTGAATCTGCACTTCCATACATTTGTCGTGGATAAATGGGATCGCATGAATTTATAAATCTATGCCAATGTGTTAAATAATGCGTTAAAATAGTGTATAATAAAATCATGCTTTTATGTCTTATATCCCTATTGTACTTTACATATATCTGTCTATTTTTATTCCTGTACTGTACATAATACACCCTTGAAGCTTCCTTCCGAACCTATTTTGTTGAGCATGCTAGAAGATCCTGATATCGCAAAGTTTGAGAGTCTCTGGGATAGATGTATGCGCGCACGCGGGCACATATAGGAGGGTTGCGTACATTGCGATGGTCGGACTCACGCACGCGTTTCACGCGCGCACCATGATATTTAGTGAATCTACCAGTGCAGCTATATGGGGCTAGAAAGGGAGAGAAATGGGGGAAGGGACTGATGCCCGAGAGGGATCAGTTTGGGAGGGGGCGGACGCGGAGTAATGTCTATTATCGGATTCAATATCGGTGCTCTCGGTAAGCCAGTATACAAATACACCTATGCTACGGTAATAACAACATAGGTGCACGCGAATCCGATCTTCAGCCAATCCTATATGCGACGGACGGCTGCGGTCACCGCAGTTGGCCCACCTGATAGAAGGAGGGCCAAATCTGTGTTTTAAGCTTTCGATTAGGCGCTGATGGCAAATGCATCTCTAATAACCTCCAGTGGCTTCACGAAGCTGAAAGTCGCAGGGTCGAGAGATACTTCGAGTTCGCTTAAAAGCCTCTGAAGCTCTGGTCTCTGGTCCCGTTCGGGATTTGTTGTAAAAATCAAATATTACAATCGATAAATCATTACTTTATTTTTAATATTTTTTAGAATAACTTTTTTTTTATTTTTTTAATATAAGAGTAGAATGCACACTTATTTATGCGTGATCTAATTTCATTTTACGTAAACGTGGTACACATAGCCACTTTGAATAATTTTGGACGCGTCTTGCAAATTATACAAGCCCCATTACATCTGTTATTTAAAATGTAAAATGAAATGCAATGAGATGTTCGCATAATTTTGTTGCAGAGCGGTCGTGGAAGTTCTTCTTGCCGCTGGAGTTGACGTCAATACAAGAACGTCAGCTGGCACTGCGATGCACGAAGCTGCACTTTGTGGCAAGATGGAAGTAGTACGGGCTCTTTTAGATCGCGGAGTGGATTTGGGCATTAGGAATTCTCGGCAATATACGGTGCTTGATCTTCTGGGACAGTTTCCGGCACACGTCACTCAAGATATTACAGCAGTGATAAAAAGTACAGTCGTACTAACATGCAATTTATTTTCGTAGCATCATGGCCAATATATATGTACATACATATATGTATATTATCCATATATATATATATGTGTAATTAGTAAAACTTCTGTCGAGAGAACGTACATTTCTAGTTTACTGCAGCGTTTAATTAAATCGCTCTTAACCACATATAAAGATTTTGCGTGTATTTGCATAACGTTATATTATCCATATGGAATTAATCTTGAATTCTTTATTTCTGGATATGTTATGTGCGAATTATGAAACACATTTATAATTTTTAAGCTTACATCATATAATAACCATATAATAACAATGATCGTGCCAATTTTCATTTTTGGAAATATTATATTAAAAGTATTATATTAAAAAATTTTGAATTTCCGTTACAGAATTGCGATTGTAACGCGCTGCAATTTTGCGTGTTTTATTTGTTAAACGTGTTTTTAATTATTTTCACGTGGATGATTATTGCATATAATTATATGCTCTTGTTGATTTCGAAACAGGGCATCGGTCTTCCTCCGGTATAGAGAGCGATGTTGATAACGAGAACTTGCCACCAATTCCGGTGCAGGGTAGCGATTCATTGGGCAGCCCTTATGAAAATGTTCGTCCGGAGGATGATCTTTCCCCCGTGGAAGGGACATCGCCTACTCAATGGCAGTTCTATCATAAACCTCGGGACGACGATCGTCGTGTTTCCGGCACTTCCGTCATGTCCTTGTGAGTATCTTTTTATACTTTTTGCATGTTGTGCATTGCTATATATATTTCATAATATATGTGTCAAATCTTATTTCCTTTTGGTACTACAATACCATGATAGATAAAGATGTGTGCTTGTACAGAACATGTAATATAAATAACATATATGTCTGTAATATTAGTAAGATATTGAATAGTATAGTAATCAAATAATTTATAAATATCGAAATAACGTAAAAAATATATACATACATAAAATATACATACATAAAATACATATATCATTTAAGATAGTATAACATAATGAAGCACATTTAATACATATAATGCATATTTAAATATTTTAACGTATACAAATTCACTAGAATATATTGGGTAATATTTAATAACGTAGTGTTGCAATTAAGAAATTACTAATAAACAAATTATATTTATTTATTACACTTTACAAAAATTTCAACATATCGAATATTCATACGCATATACATATATAATATTTATATATTTTCACGTAAAATTATCCGATTATCCGATATCCGAGCGACTATTGGGATTTCACACGTAAAAGATATAGTATAAAAGATATTCCTCTATCGTTTAGACTATCTTTGTAGAGGTGCCTTAAAAGAAATAAAAATTTTAATCGCGATTGCATCGGGTAAGCGCGGAGGCTCGTAATATTTTGCAAAAAGACTTGGTGCACGCTGCGGCTGTGCTTTAATATAGAAGATGTTGGACAAACAAAAGCGTAGACGTGGACGGAGCGCGGAGTGAATGAGTGAGTACCGGCCAAGCACCGAGATGATGACGGCTGGTGCTGGCGCTGCTGCTATCGCTGCTGTTAGTACCCGTAGGAGGTAGAGAAGGTTGGAGGTGGAGGTTTTCGGACCGAAAAGGGAACCTGGATATGGGGCGGCGCCAGGGGGTGAAACGCGAAGGTGGAGGAAGAGGTTGGAGGAGGTGGCACGGCCGCGTGTAGCCCCAGCGCGTTAAGCACCGCTTGGCTTGGTTTAATTTTCCTGATGTAGGCAGGCGAGATGGTGGGTCCGACCGCCTCGTTCGCCCCTAGGTCACCCCCGCTGCATCACCCCATTGGTACTCTGTGCTAGTGCTACCGCTCTAGCTGCTAAGCCCGACTGGTTGGTTCGGGTACAGCATGCGGGAAAGAGAAAGATAAAGATATAAGGGCGATAGAGAAACGGTGAGGGAAAAGTGGAGGGTAAGAGAACGAACGAAGGAGAAAGAGGGATACGCAATATATACATGAGGAAGAGGGAGAAGAGAAGCGAGAGAATGTGGGAGCTCCCGTTGATGTTCCGCACTTCTGCCATCAATGTTTGACGTCGGTAGCCCCGACTTGGCCGCCTCGAAATGAATCCATCACGTTAAACAATGTAAATGTTAGCCCGTCTCAGCATAAAACTAATAACCATTGCTCTCTCCCTCGTACTACAAGCGCGTGGCCTCCACAACCCTCGAGGGCCGCAAACTCCTTTTTCACTTCTCTTTTCCGTGCTCGCGTTTCGTCCTCGTCAACGTGGCCTCATTAAAAAGTCAGCACTTGATTGTAAATATCTTCAACTGAATAGTATTTTGTCAATGAATGTAGACCTTTTCTATATGCGCGCAAACACAATTTATATTTACATTCTTATACAATATGATTCTTACTCTTTGCTTTCACGAGTATTTTAATTTAAGTACTAGTGCTCGTGAACCATACATTTTAAATATTGAATAATGTTATATAGAACAATATAACAACATAATAAAATTCCGTATAAATATTAATTAAACTTTATACAGTGACACATAAAATAACAGTTTCGGCTTGATCGATATACGAGATGATGTTGCTTGGCTTTAGATGTGCGATTGATTGTTAGTAATTGACAACGGTTGACGTACCGGGTGCGCGTTTCAGTGAAGACGAGCAGAATGGGGAACCGGTGAACGGAATACGGAGGGCCCTCCAGCAGACAGAGGACTCCGACCCCAGTTCCGTCTTCGACAGCGTCTTTATGTCCTTATCCGACACTCTCAACTCTATAAATACTCTCGAAAGTTCCGACCAAACTCCTGAAGATATACCACAAAACATTACCAAAAGAACACCATTACCACCCGACACTACACGGTAATGACATGCATAAAACATTTTGCATAGTTGCGTTAGAAACAACATATTACTTCATAATATTGAATCAATGTTTTCCAAGATGGTTTTGGTTAGAGTAGTTTACGTGCATGCAATCGTCTGTAGAACATTTGTCAGAAATTATTCATGCGTACTTGATGTTGCTAGAGAATACTTTAGACAAATACAATTATGCCACTACGCGCAAAATGAATTGGCGTAAACGTGAGAAATCTTTAGAAAATCTTTTCTTACTGATTAATCGAGCGGAAGCATACGTTTCCGACATTCTCGATCTATCAAGTCGATTTATCATCGACTAATAATAGATTGCCGATTGGTCCCGTTGAAACCCCGAGTTTTGGTTGCACAGGGGTTCCGACAACGGACTGTACCAAACTCCACCCGTGCCACGCGGCACAATGGAGGGTAGCTTCGTGTCGGAGGATCTGTCCTTGACATTGCCCACGGGATACGGGGGCGGCAGAGAGTCCGACCAATTGAGCGTGTCGTCATCCTCGAGCGTCGGCGGACCGAGCCCACGGGACCGTCGTTGTTTGCCTAACGATTCCAGTGCTGCCGGGATTTACTTGCCAATGGCACCCTTGTCCAGCTCGCTTCACAGCCCCGCTTCCAACAATAAAGTCTCGGTAAGAGTCCCATAACTAAGAGTTAATCTTAGTTATGAAGAAATATTCGGAAAAAAAAAATACGAATCCAATAAAAATTGAAAAGAAAAATTGCATCGCGTATTTGTCTAAATATCGTGAATTTAATTTTATTGGGAATATTTGTGAACGTGAGGATAAGTTCGCGAATATGAAAAGATATTCGCTTCTTCTTCCGTAGCCGACACCGCCCAAGAAGCCACCTAGACGAAATCTCTCGGTATCCCCGACGCATTTGCAAACGCAGATGTCTTTATCAGCCGACAGTTCGGTAGGGCCGAGCAATTACGAGTACTTGTTTTTGGCGCGCAGTGGTGCGCGAAGTCACATCGATCTCGAGCAGCTGCAGAAACGGCGCGATCAGCTGCGACACGTCACACGAAGCGTGGATCAGTACGTGGAGATGAAGTCGCGGCTAGTCGGAACTGACGAGAAACGCGAGTCCAACGTGGAGCCGGTAGCCATAACGTCTATCTACGAGAACCGGCCAGTCAAGATGCTGAATCCGCGAAGAAAATTACGCAGACACGCGTATGAGAATTATGAGCCGGAGAACAATTCATGCGCCGACAAATCGCCCTGCAGTGACGGCGACGCGATGATTCAGGAGCAAACGTTCGTGTCGAGCGCGTTTCTCACCTTGAAATCTTCTCAGGAGAGTCTTCTCGATGAGAAGCGCGAGATAACGGATGGGCAATCCGCTTCGGAGAATCGCGAGGCTACCGACAAACGTCTCAAACGCGTGCAAATGATGCTGCCAACCAGTCCCACTCATTACGTTCAGCCGCCTACCCCTGATCATCCACCGCCGTCCGCTATGCAAGCGGAAAAATCCATCCATGAGCGCATTCGTCCGCTCAGTCAGGTAAGTGCTATCAGCGGCTACTATTCCAGGCAAGGTCAACGTGTTGATGGACGTATGACGCCAAAAAGATAGCGGATAGTGATAGATAATAACAGATCATTAGCCTCGTGCAGCGATTACTACATGATAACATCTTATTATGAATTTCCAAAGAAACGCAATTTTTTAACGCATTTATTGTATTATTAAGAAAAAATTTTCTTGTTTACATCTTTATGAAAATCTTGGAAAAAAAATCGTCATTTTTTTTCCATGAAATGAAATTGCATTAAAGAATTATATCTATATAATGATTCGATAGATAATTCTAAAGCGATTAACATCGCATCTAATCCC